TACATTTGGGGGGCCAGCACGGATCTATAATATGATACTTCCATGCTCTAGAGAGACGCACATCGATTCAGTATTCTGATACTGACGCACATGGCGTAGCCTTTCTGTGACTGACCGCTATCTACTGACCGTATAACATTCAGGTTAAAGCCTTTTTGTGGATGGCAGGATTACATAATGATATGGTCTCTAATTGCACACACGGCAATCCTATTGGATGATCTGTATTGTATACACATAATAGACCTAAGTGCAGCTGTTTAGCTCAAGGCACTATAAAGCACCAGAAATAGCTACTAGACAAAGTCTCATGTCATCGCTGAATGCAAACAATGAAATGAAAAGTCGTGTATACAGCATAATGAAGGCAGGGCTCATGCATAGAGAAGTGAGGTGCACCTGCCTGTTGAACCAAGCGTCGCTGACCATTCATTACATACAAAACCATCAGAATTATAGAGTTAAACTGTGTTTGAATTCGCCTGCAGATGTGGCATTACCTTTCTTCTTTTGTTGATGAGATGCGCGTGGACAGATTTATTTAAAGTGAAAGAAGGAGAAAAGGGGTGAGGGGCATGGGGGCGGAGCAAGGCTTTACTACAGTGTGGGAAGCAGCGCTTTTGGTGAAGAGCGGGCTCCAGCGTAGGATGCTGAGCCGCGGCACTCTGAGAGATCAGCGCACAAACACACACATCTGTTTGAAGACTTCAGGTAGGTCTCGAACTTCAAGTTTTACCTGCTAGGGAATGCGGCATAATCGCAGAAAACTCCTTACAAAGTTTATATTAATAGAAATTGAATTGAATAATGAAAATAAATTAGCATTTCGTTACTAACACTATCGTTATCCAGGAATACTATGTTTTAGATACATTTTTGGACATGATGATTGTTGTGTTATGCAGCCATTAACAATAAATGCAAAAGTATGTATGAATACATAATGATGCCCATAAGGAATAGATTTAATTACTACAAGACATGCTCTGAGTGGATCTTGTTTCAACTACAGTACAGCTTGCTTTGCCCTGCAGGTGACACACTGAGTAAAAATGTATGATGTTATTAATTTAACGCACATCACATGCACGTTTTTCATCACACTAGAACTGCGTTTTGAAGCTTTTTATATCCTATTTGTCTTGTGATCCCTAGTAGCTTACCTGTGTCCTAAAAATGTATTTAGATAGTGGGATGTGATCTGTCTGATGCAGTGGATGTGGAGTAATTAAGGAGGCCTATATTGTGTGAAAGTGATTTGCATCAAATTGTGTGTTCTTGATTTGCTCCATTGTCCTCTACCACGGTAGGATTGATTTCCACTTCCCACTGTAGGTTCCCATGCTCCTTGTATGGTTGTCTAATTCCCTCCTTGACCATTGTAATCATCCTTATCGACTCTGGATGATGGTGCGATCCCTGGGCAAGGATTATTCAGCCCGTTGAGAGCCCTGCAGGTGCTGACCTATGTAGCTATAGTGCTTGAGCTGAAACCATTCACGCCAACTCAACAGTCTGTGGTGCTGAACTCAGGGGCAATGTTTCTATCAATCCACTTTCCCCACATCGCCATTTAAAGAAAATAAGATTTAGCAATCTGGTCTTGATTGCTGTGGAAATCATTCTGTAAGGATCTTATGGAACCATTATGAAAAAGTTTGACTTTTCATAAGCATGACCCATCTTGGCTCTAAGATATGAGGTGAACATGTTCAGATTGTTCAAATCAAATATAGCTCTTATGGATAACAATTGTAATGCTGATTTATTCTTAATTACAAAAACACTGGATATATGAAAAGACAGAACGGGCTAGCATGAGTATCTCATTTGGGTTGCCAGTTTAAATGTTGAAAAGTTTTGAACCTAAAAGAATTCTCTCTCTCTGATCTGAATGGTTACTACCTAAACCAGCACATGTGGCCAGGGGAGGTTCTAGGCACAGGCCGACAGGGCAGACACCTGGGGTAGCATTTCATGGGGCATGAGCACCTGGAGAGTAAAACCAGTGGCAACTCAAGTTCAGCTGTCATTGTGATACCCTTTTCAAAACTGTATATGAGTACAGGCTGGTCAGGAGCACTTCCAGAATATTCTTGTTTACCCCAGCAAAATGCACATAATCTTCTGGGGAGCAGCCCAGACTTCAACTTCAGGTAAGCCTTGCTAATGCACATCTTCCAAGATACAGGTTATTTAATTTCTGCACCTTTTCCTGTCAGACTTGCCTCTTTAATCAAAAGACAGTGTCAGAGCTGGGGTCAACACTTTAACCTAACCAATTAAAAGATAAATTAAAATTGATGAATTTTCACCTATGAGGTTGGTTGCACATGAGCACCCATTTGTAGGGTTCAAATGTAATGTCTGCACCTTTGTTATGTCCCAATGGTTGAGATATTGTGGTGCTATGCATTTAAGAATTGTCACATTATAGGAGCAGCTCATCATCGCTACTATCTCTCACACTCATGGGATACAGTAGCCCGCTGTCAGACCTTTGTAAGGTGTGTATTTGAATCTATGCTGTTGGCTGTAAGGACAAAAACAGTGTAATTTTCAACATAATATGACAAAAAATAATTGTGGCCAAATACGTTCAGGAGATGGGCATATATATTTATAGGACATCAGTTAACATGGCAACTAGGTTTACCACAGCCAGACAATAGAAGACTTGTGAGACTCTCAGTTTTAGATTTTTTTTTAAGTATATAAGCAGATTATGTATGTGATCACATTACATTACATTACATCCCTGGTGGGGTGATAATAATGTAATGCACTTTACTCGTCAATCTAACAGCACAGAGCACTTAGACAACATCCTCCTCCACTTTTACAATAGCTTTACATCACGCTGTTTATGAGGTGAAAAGATGCTGATTGTTGATACTGTGTAAAAACGTAAAGCATGACATACATGAAACAATAAAATGAGTGGAAGTTTTAAAAAAAGAACCTAAATATATATATTCCCTTAAACTTTCCATTATTCATAATGTAACTCCGCGTTTATATAAGTCTGCAATCCTTTTTTTTACTTATTACACCAAGTGTAAAGTACTCCAGCAATTCTTTGAATATGCTTCAATTAGCAGCAACTTGAAATGGATCCAGGAAGGGTATTATTATAAAAATATTATTGCTTAATTTATATCACAGTTGAAAATCTCAGCATACAATCAATCTTCTTTCCATTTACTGTTCATTGATTAACAGTGTTGGGAATTGTTTATAGTGAGATATTGTTATTCAATGGAAATTCATAATTTGAGGCTATGAAACACAGATGACAAATTTTGATTTTAATTATTTAAAAGGCATAATTTTCTATTCGTGGCATTAAAAAATACAATTTGGCATATATCATCATAATAAGCTATGAAGGATTGAAAGAAGTTGATGGATTTTTTATTAATTTCTTTCCTAGTTATCACTGTTGCTCATATTTTCTTCTCTCTAGAGTCTGTGTAATCTTATGTGGATTTTAGTGTTAATCACTGCTCTGCACCATTATCATTTCTTCATCACTTTGGTTCTCCCAGGGTGGTCCTGTCTGTAAACAGAACATGAATCAATACAGGTTCATGTTGGTGCTGATTTGTCGTTATATCATCTGTCTTGCACTGACAATCACGCCCCTCAAATCTGTATCCCACACCAGACTATAATGTGGCACAGGGATGCCTGGAGTGCCATGGTTTACTGATTCATTGCTTTTCCGCGTGTGCTTTAACAAAACTGTTATACTAATTATTGGTGCTCTTGGACACCTATTCCCATACAGAGGGCATAAACAAGCAGAGAATATTTTGGACATACACCCTTACAAACTGAAAGCACTCCAATATATTCCATTGTGAAATTTGTCCAGCAGCACATTGATTCTGCAATTGTGGTACAGGCGTCCTTTGATGGTATTTCACTGTATGGCAGTTCATGTCTTCATTTTGCTTTATTTCAGAGTTTTGTTGAGCTCTGCCTCCTTTTTTCTGTTTATTTAGGGCTTGGTTAGTTCATTGTTTATTCGGTAATTTACTGAAGCACTTAAGTGTTAACTGTTTTAATTTCCTGGTTAATTAAAGATGGTGCAAATTCAGTTGTGGAAAGCCAACTCCTTTTTGATCTGGCATTTTTTATGGGTCCTTGGTCCTTGACTTGCCTTATTATAAAGATCAGTATAGTCATACAACGTAGCCTCTATGATGGTCTATCTCTAGCTTTCATCACAAACAGGTCCACATGTATGTATGTAAGGGTTAATACTCCCACAGAGTCATCAGACACAGGATAAGGAGGTGGACATGTTTCTCTGCAGAAATAAACCCCATAAGCTGCTTCCAGACTCGAGCGCTAAGCCTGCGCTAAGAGGCAAAGAGGAGGAGGATAAAGCAATGTGAATCAATGCTTCGATGCATGATGGATGAGTGAAAAGATGCTTGGTGAATCTGACGTAAGCGAGTGGGGAGCTCTCCGTCACAGCTATGGGGCTCCATGAGGGTGAAGAGAGGCAGCAGGCAGGGAGATGAGTCTGTATTTGTGCCCAATTCAGAGTGTGCTGCCTCCTCAGGGAATGTTCCGTGTACCGTAAATAACAGGGGAACTTGCTTTTATTTCATGGACCTTATTTTAGAGCCCTGACTGCTCAACTTGATTGAAATGTAGCTTATCAGATAGTATCACATAATGATTAAAAATATATCTGTCATTATTATTTTAACAACAGGTGTTTCAGTGATCAGCCCTAAATATGACTAAAGTGGTCCAGCCTTCTTGTGCCATGATTTGCACTCTCCATTTACAATTGGCAGTCACCAAATCCTGGAAATTAATCTTTCAATTTATGAGATTTTTTTTTATCAACTGACCCCAATGTTGTATTTACCTATTCATTCTCAAAGACCACCAAATCATCTCACAAGTCTCAAAGTGTGGGAAAAGAGCAAGTGGAAGTGACATGATTCTTTTTTCCTGAATCCACAATGATTATTTGTGCTGTGAAATTAATTTTCAGTGTGTATAAAGTATGCAATCAGGCATCCATCCATCCTTCCATCCATTTTCTTCCGCTTATCCGGGGCCAGGTCGTGGGGGCAGCAGTCTAAGCAGGGTCTCCCAGACTTCCTTCACCCCAAACATGTCCTCCAGCTCCTCTGGGGGGACCCCGAGGCGTTCCCAGGCCAGCCGAGAGACATAGTCCCTCCAGCGTGTCCTGGGTCTTCAACGGGGCCTCCTTCCGGTGGGACATGCCCAGAACACCTCACAAAGGAGGCGCCTAGGAGGCATCCAGGACAAATGCCTGAGCCACCTCAGCTGGCTCCTCTCGACGTGAAGGAGCAGCAGCTGTACTCTGAGATCCTCCCGTGTGATTGAGCTCCTCACCCTATCTCTAAGGGAGCGCCCAGCCACCCTGCGGAGGAAACTCATTTCGGCCACTTGTATCCGCGACCTCGTCCTTTCGGTCATTACCCAGAGCTCATGACCTTAGGTGAGAGTAAGAATGAAGACTGACCGGTAAATCGAGCCTCTTCACCACAGTGGTCCGACACAGCGACTGCATCACTGCCGACGCTGCACGGATAAGCCTGTCAATCTCATGTTCCGTCTTCCCCTCACTCGTGAACAAGACCCTGAGATACTTGAACTCTTCCACTTGAGGCAAGGACTCTCCACCCACCCGGAGAGGACAAGCCACCTTTTTCCGGTCAAGAACCATGGCCTCAGACTTAGAAGAGCTGATCTTCATCCCAGCCGCTTCACACTTGGCTGCAAACCGCCCCAGTGCACATTGCAAGTCCTGGTTTGATGAAGCCAACAGGACAACATTGTCTGCAAACAGCAGAGATGAGATCCTGTGGTTCCCGCCCCGGACCCCCTCCAGCCCCTGACTGCGCCTAGAAATTCTGTCCATAAGTACAATGAACAGAACTGGTGACAAAGGGCAGCCCTGGCGGAGTCCAACATGCACCGGGAACAGGTCTGACTTATTGCCGGCAATACAAACACAGCTCCTGCTCCGGTCATACAGGGACCAGACAGCCCTTAGCAAAGGGCCCCGAACCCCATACTCCCAGAGCACCCCCCACAGGACACCACGAGGGACACGGTCGAATGCCTTCTCCAGATCCACAAAGCACATGTGGACTGGTTGGGCAAACTCCCATGAACCCTCAAGCACCCGATGGAGAGTATAGAGCTGGTCCAGTGTTCCATGGCCAGGATGAAAACCACACCTGGATCCGAGGTTCGACTATCGACCAGATTTTCCTCTCCAGTACTCTGGCATAGACCTTTACTGGGGAAGCTGAGAAGTGTGATTTCCTTGTAGCTGGAACACCCCCTTCGGTCCCCCTTCTTATACAGAGGGACCACCACCCCGGTTTGCCAGTCCAGAGGTACTGTCCCCAATCTTAAGTGCAATCATGCACTTAAGAATATTACATATTCTCATGCAGCTGAACTGCCTTCATGTCCATTTAGTTCATGTCAATTTGCCATGCATTTGCATTTGGTGCTGACCATGTGTGACAGATCTCCTCTCAGCACTGGCTTTCAGGGACTACTTGCATGTCATTTTATATTAATGCTGTAACATGATAAAGCCTTTACTTAACACACATTGCCTTTGTGTGCTAGTTCTTAAAATTGTTCTTTAAAAATGTGTCTTCTTGATAACCAAGTGTGCAATACCCATAATACATCTCTTCCACTCTGACACCTATACACCTGCCCCCAGGGCTTATTCTGCTCACTGTCAGCTCACACCACAAAACAGGGGTAAATCATACCTTCATGAATGGACGTTATGTAAGAGAAGGTCAAGGAGAAGATTTACAAAATGCTGTTGTGTGCTTATAGGAATTATAGACCTAACATGAGCATCTTATAATTTTCCTTGACATTGTTATTGTTATGTGTAAATGTATATTAGCTGCCATTACATATTGTGCACATCTGTATAAACATGCATGGCTGCAAGGGAGACTAAAAGAAGAAGTTTAATTAGTTTCTTTTATTTGTTAAAAAAATAAATAAATATATTGCACCCGTTTATATCAAAATAATTAATTTCCACCAGCAGTTCCTGCAGAGGTTGATATCATAAATACCGTACATGTCAGTAAAATACAGTGTATACTTATTCATTCAGTCAATCAATAAGCAGTGATGGGAAAAATACTTTGAAAATGTATTTAGTTATAGAAAACTGAATACCTACATTAAAATGTATTTTGTATTGTAAATTGTGCCTTTTTGTCCCACTGTTTGTTATGCATTAATATATTTCCAATTAGAGAATGAAAAATTATACATGCACTTACTCCAAGAGCTATTTTTTCTGACTAATACCATGCAGTTCAAAGTACATTACATGCTGAAGTATCACCACATATTCCTTTTAATTTAGGAAAGTAACTTCTGAATACCACCAAGTGAAAGAGTTTTATTTGTCAAAATTAGTATTCAGAATATTTTTTTTTTTCATACATATATTCAGTTGCTTCCCAGTATTGTTAATCTAGTCCCATTCAATATTAGTCACCACATCCTTACATTATTTATTGACATACAATTCATGTTTCTGCAATCATACAAGGCAGTTTAATGTGTACATGTTTGTTTGGTTCATAAATTGTACAAACATTCATAAATTGTACATGATATGATTTCATGATCTTGTAACACAATAAATATGCTATGCTAATTGCTAATAAAAAAAAATGTCCCATTGGCTAATACTAGGGTGACCAGATTTTCAAAATCAAAAACTGGGACATGCTAGGTTTGGGGCGGTTGGTAATGATAAAATTGTGAAACAAGTGCATAATTAAGGAAAACACCAGGGACATTTCTTGTATAAAACTGACCAATCAATGGTTTTGGATAAATCTGCTGGGACAGGGGGCAAAACTGGGACTGTCCCGGGTAAATAGAGACATCTGGTTATAGCTAATACAGCTAATACAGTACAGATAGGGTAAGAAGAATGCATGTTAATGTATTAGTGGAAGGGCAGTTGATTTATACTAGTCAGTCAATACACATATTTAGACGTGTATATAATATTAAATAAATATGTCAAAATAAAATACTGGAAAACCTTATTTTAATGCAATACTCTCAGCTGGTGCCCACTGACCCACTTTGACCCTTTTAAGTACATAGAGCATTAACTATTCACTCTCTTACATAATATACAGTGGTTTATATATGAAATCTCAGCTGCCTACTCAGCTGAATGTCCATTTGATTGTACTGGTTCAGTAATTACTCTAAATCTCATTTCTCTTTGCTTAGTTCTCATGTTTCTACAATCAATACAGCAACATCCTGTGTCTTTACTGCAACGTACACCTCTCAGCTTCATTAAATCACACAACCCTGTTTATGGACACCACTAACACAGTCATGACTGACTAGTAAATGCTCACCTCACTGGTCATAATGTCTTGTTGCTTGACTTTCAGATTATCATAAAAAATACTATACAGTGTAAGGTACGCCCTCAGGAGATCAAGCTCATGGGGTGAAAATGGGGTTAATGTTATAGTGTAGAGCCATTTGTAAGCAGTTTGTGTCCTAGCTTCCTCTGAAAGGGTGACTTTGAGAATCAGATAGCACTGTCATGTACATTGATCTATTGTTAGATGCTCAGGTCACATGACTGCCGCTCAGAGCCACTACTGACCCCAACAAGTTATATACGTTATCTATGTAAGCTATAACAATATCTCACCATTGAGTAGACATGTCACTGAACATGAAGCTAATCCAGAGCTGGAAATTTGTCCAAGCAAAAACAAATTCTGTAATAGTTGTATTTCTACAGAGCTTCTGGGAAATTTTATTCACCCAGCAATGAAGCAATGCTATCCACCAGAGCATATGACTGAAGATGATGATTTCTTTATAGAATTGGTAAATCTAGAGTCCATCATCTAGATCTCTCTTATTGTGACAACTGTACAGGATGATACAAACTATGAAAACATTGTACACTGTCTCCAGAGAATGGAAAAATTATGCTCTATAATAACTGCACCTTGTAGAATCCATGCCCTCACTGTTGGGGCATGACCTATAGGTCACACATCTTTACCAATTAGGTTGTCCTGAGATTGAACTGACACTGTCAGGGTCTTAAATGAATGAGCTCACCCACAGCTCTGTGTCTGACTCTCACCTTAACACAGAAAACACATCTGATTGTTCTCTCCCCAAGGTTTTCCATATCAGCCAACATGACATTAACTTGTGCTATTTTTGCTTTTAAACTAGAATGACTGATGCTGTCCACTGTACATCTGCTACCATATTGCTCTGACAACTTAACAGCCTGAATCCACTTGTTAATTTGTTGCTTGCCTCAGATTTTAGGTTCTTGTTTCTAGTGAATATGTTAACTCTAAATTGTCAGTTGTCAACAAGGGCCATTGAGGGTTTCTTTTAACTGTACTTGTGTTAGAAGATAATGAGAGCACTTCTTAACAATGTCTCCAGGCATGTGTACAGATCCAACTCAGTTAACAGTTTTTTTCTCTGAGCAGCTGTGCAAGTGAGAAAGGTGTGTTCATTTTGTCATGACCACCAGATGTTTGGGGCTGTATTGTCCAGGGGCAATAACACAGCAGTAAGCATGGCTCAGCTAAAACAACCATGGCACAAATTAGCTCATATCATTTGTGTTTCATGTAGCACCTCTTCACCACAGTTGGACTGCTGGAGAATTCCCTCTGGCCATGTTTTATAAGTCACTGATGCACAGCTTTCAGCTCATATTAAATACATCTCACTCAATCTCAAACTTGACATTGAGGGTTATGACATACACCATACACGTGTGTGTGTGTGTGTGTGTATAAAATGTTATATAAAATGTGTTTCTATATATAAAATCTGTTTTCTCACCTTCATCCAGCTCAGGTCCTCGGGAGCCTGTGAGTTCTGCGCAGTATCTTTGCTGTTCCTAGTACTGCACCTTTCTGGACTGAGATGTCCGGATGTCCATTGTTTTTCCCGGTATCTGCTGTAGCCATTCTTCCAGTTTGGGGGCACCACTAATGCCTTCACTTTCCAGGCTTTCTCCAGCTCCTCCTTGAGCCTCTGGTATTTTTCTAGTTTCTTGTGTCGCTTAATATTGCGATGTCCACCACCACGACTTTGCTCTGTTGCTTATCCACCATCACTATGTCTGGTTGGTTTGCCCCCACCATCCTGTCAGCCTGTAGCTGGAAGTCCCACAGGATCTTGGCTCGGTCGTTCTCCACAACCTTTGGAAGGGTTTCCCACCTTTCCCACTTTGCACAAATGCTTCTGTACACTATGCCCGCCACTTGGTTATGTCGCTCCATGTATGCTTTCCCTGCCAGCATCTTACACCCCGCAGTTATTTGCTGGACTGTCTCAGGAGCCTCTTTGCACAGTCTACACCGTGGGTCTTGTTTTGTTCCGGTGGTTCGCCCCGTGAAGGGGCTTGTCCTGCCATGATGGTCCTCCTCTTCCTCTGGACCCCACTGTCTGAGACATTCTCTGAGCAGCTCATCTGTCGGGGCCTTGTACTTGATGTACTCAAGGAGCTTGGATGTTTCATTCTGGACAGTGGTTCCCACACTCACGAGTCCTCGGCCTCCTTCATGCCAGCTTGCCTACAGTCTCAGGGTGCTGAATTTGGAATGGAAAGTAGCGGGCGTAGCTGTTTACTGCCTGCGCCTTGTTCTTGTATATATACAGTCATGGATAAAATTGTTGGTACCCCTCTTATAATGAAAGAAAAATCAACAATGGTCACTGAAATAACTTGAAACTGAGAAAAGCAATAATAATTTTTTTAAAATCCTGACAAATAACCAATGAAAATCAGACATTGTTTTTGAATTGTTGTTCAACAGAATTATTAAAAAAAAAAAAAAAAAACTAATGAAACTGGCCTGGACAAAAATGATGGTACCCCTAGAAAAGATTGTAAATACTTGGACAACAGGGACATGTTAAACTTAGGTGTGTCCTCTAATCTGCATCACAGGTGTCTTCAAACTTCTCGTCAGTCAGTCTGCCTGTTTAAAGGGCGACATGTGTCATTGTGCTGTTTGGAGACATGATGAACACAACACTGAACGTGGACCAGAAAAAGAGAAGAAGAGAATTGTGTTAGGAAACTAGAAAGAAAATGATAGACAAGCAGGTTAAAGATAAAGACCACAAGCAGTTTGATGTTCCTGTGATTACAGTTACACAGTTCAGAAGTTTAAGGTCCACAGGACTGTAGCCAACCTCCCTGAATGTGGCTGCAAGAGGAAAATTGATGACAAATACAAGAAATGGACCATACAAATGGTAACCAAAGAGTCTAGAACAACCTCCAAACAAATTAAATGTGAACTCGAAGGGCAAAGTACATCAGTGTCAGATCGCACCATCCCTCACTGTTTGAGCCAAAGTGGACTTCGTGTGAGGACACCACTGTTGAAAGTAAATCATAAAAAAGTGAGATTGGAATTTGCCACAATCCATATTGACAAGCCGCAAAGCTTCTAGGAGAATGTCCTTTGGACAGATGAGACAAAACTAGAGCTCTTTGGCAAGACAGGTCAGCTCTGCATTCACAGATGCAAAAAGAACACTGTCCCTACTGTGAAACATGGAAGAGGCTTGGTTTTGTTCTGGAGTTGTTTTGCTGCATCTGGCACAGGGTGTCTTGAATCTGTGCAAGATACAAGGGAATCTCAAAACTATCAAGGTATTTTGGAATGAAATGTGTTGCCTAGTGTTAGAAAGCTTGGTCTCAGTCATAGGTCATGGGTCTTCCAACAAGATAATGACCCAAAACACACAGCTAAAAACATCCAAGCATGGCTAAGAACAAAACATTGGACTGTTCTGGAGTGGTCTTCTGTGAGCCCAGATCTCAATTCTCTTGAACATCTGTGAAAGGAGCTGAAACATGCTGTCTGGAGAAGGCACCCTTCAAACCTAAGACAACTAGAGCATTTTGCTCATGAGAAATGGGTCAAAATACCAGTTGATCAGTGCAGAAGTCTCATTGTCAGTTACATAAATCATTTGCTTGCAGAATTTGCCTCAAAAGGTTGTGCAACAAAATATTAAGTTAAGGGTACCATCATTTTTGTCCAGGCCAGTTTCATTATTTAGTTTTTTCTAATTCTGTTGAACCACAGGTGAAAAGCAATGTTTGATGTTTGTTGGACAATTTTCTGTAGATTTTTATTTATTATTGCTTTTTCTCATTTATTTCAGTGATTATTGCTGATTTTTCTTTCATTGCCAGAGGGGTACCAACAATTTTATCCACGACTGTATATATATGGCACAAAATTTTGAAGCTTATGGCAATTATGCATGAGTTAAATTTAGTATGTCAGTGTTATCTTACATTACAATCTCTTTGGAAACATCAAACGGATGCTAATTGGAAAATATTATAGCCAAGTTGAAAAAAGCAACTCCTTTCATCCTTTCAAAATGTATTGCTTAGGTAAAAAAAAAAAATACATGAATGCAAAATAATTGTATAATTTATATACACAGTACAGCAGAATGTCCTTACTTGCATTCATCCCCTCATTGGTCATCCTCATGGTCTTAATTTTGACATTGCCATATCTATTATCATCCCTCTTCCAATGCTCACTCCTTATGTGTATTTGTCCCACCCACATTTTGCCACTCATTCGCTTAACTCTTCTCCACACGATTTGATCTACGACCGACTCCACTTTCCTCATCGCCACACCCCGCACCCTTACTCCACATTGCCTCTCTGATTCACACATATGTTCAGCAATTTCTTTTGTGCATTTTATTTCTTTCCTCTATTTCTTCAGTGGTTTTATGTAATTAGCTAAAATTTCATTCTTAGTGCACTTTATAGTGTTTTTGTATAATATTTGTGACAGAATTTATAGCTGATGTCTTTAGAGCTTAGTGACCCCTGTGTGTGAGTGCAGCCATTGGAGATGGCAGATTTGGAGCTGCCTCTTACTCTGCGTGTGGGCGGTTGTGTTTTTGGTCTAGATTTGGAGAATGATGAACATGTCCAGCGCCCCTTTGGGAGCAGAGCTCACCGATGAGGAAAAGGAGATCATCAACAGTGTACTGGCTCGTGCTGCCATGATGGAGGCCATGGAGCAACAGAGGATAGAGTAAGATGATGTAAACTAATTCTAACATATCAGTTACCATACGCCTACAAAATTTTATGTATTTATTTAATTAGTTCAGTTCAAAGTAGCATATAATTAGATTTTGTTCATTGTAAACTGCTATATAGATCTAAAACTACATAATACTGTAATAGAAATTGGTCTAACGACTTTCTGTTTAAAACTCTCAGTGTTATTTCACTATGGCATGCCTGTTTTTATTGTCATAACTGACTGCAAGACAGTTTGAACCGTACATGTATGACTCAGTGTCTGAACTTTTGAGTAATCGTAAGTGAAGAGTATAGGGAGGTGATCGGGGTGATAGTCATTTTCTGTGTACTCGAGTCTTGAATGTAGAATGATGCAAGATGCATTAATTGAAATGCAACTTATGAGTAAGCTAATTTTGAGGGAACAATAATAAAAGGTCCTCTTAAAGTGTGAATGTCCATTTACATACAGTTTCAGTCAAATGAAATACAATTAAATACTTTTTGATCTGAACCATTGAAACAAATTCTTCTTTTCTAATCTACTGAAGATGAGCTGTAAGTGTCAGGACTTACAGAACATGTGTTTGCAGGCGCCTATCCACTCGGCTGGATAATATTAAGAAGACTGCATGTGGAGATGGCCAGTCACTCTGCCTTATATGTGGAGCTGGATTTGGACCACAGGGAGTCACAGCTGTCCTCTGTGCACACTGCAACAAAGTAGGTGTGCAGACCCAGCAGATGCATTCATTACTGTACACATGTAATCAGTGCAGTATGTAGTTCCTTGGAGGATTCCTATAGAGATAATACATGCCAAGCCAACCATATGCTAACTTCTTATGACTTATGACTTATGACTATTTATGGTGTTATGTTTCACCTTCTGTCTATACTGTCAATCACAAAACATAAGGTTATTGCTATCTTGACACTAGATGAAATATTTTCCAGTTACCTTCCATTTGAAAAGTAAATCTTTTCAGATCTGACCATGTATTTCTTTGCAGCACATGTGCAGTAAATGTGGGATCTACAGCAACAACAGGGCCAGCCCAATGTGGCTGTGCCAGATCTGCAATGAGCACCAAGAGGTGAGAAAAAACAAGGCTAATAAAGTCACAGTATTTTGTCACATAAACTATTTTTGAGCTATGGAAGCACTGAGAAGCACCCAGTTGTATGTTTATCTATGTTTGATCTGGCAAAATTACCTTTCATAGCTCTTAGTATTTGAAGTAAGCAATGAGTAGTCTAATATTTACAACAATCAGTACCATTTTGCACTTTAAATAGTTTTATTTATGTTACAATGATTTCTCTATATGTTTGAATGTATCGCAATATCAGTACATCGTTTGCCAGTCATAACATTGTAATCTATTAAATGTTAATTGGATGAGCAATTATACCATAAAACAATATTATGATAATTTTGATTGAGTCTAGTTTATAAATAACCAAATGGCAGTTGTGCTCAACATAGAGAGTTACTGACAGTTCTCCTTGTTGTTTTCAAGGTGCAGAAACGGTCAGGAGCTTGGTTCTTCAAAGGAAGAGAGCTGCAGCCTCTCCCAGGGCCCCTCCTGCTGTCTAAACCACGAGAGTCCCGCCATGAGTCCAACTCTGCTCCAGACAACCAAAACAGGACACAAGCAAAAGCTATGCATCATCAAGAGCCAAGTAACACACTTTTAAAATAATTTTAGGACATTGCTCAACTGAAATATACATTTTTTGTATTGCATGTAAACTTAACTGTCACACAGATATTTAAGTACATGGCCATACCACACTGCACTAAACCACACTTGACACATGAATATAAAGTGTTTTAACATTTGGTGGCACAAATGAAGATCTGCCAAGCTACACAAAAGCATGTCATTGTTTGTTATTGTCTAATGCCATGCTGCGAACCAGAATCACATCCATTATTTTCACGCAATGCATAACTGAATGAAAGCAAACTCCAGACCCCCCTAATCTTCTAAAGCTTACATAGAGAAAAATATTGCAAAAACAAACAAACAAACAAATAACACAATACAAAATGCAAAAAAAGAAACTATGCAAAATGTCTGATCTTAATCAATATTGTTCTGCCAAAGTGAGCAGTTGGTGTATATTGGAATGCACTATACAACTATGACAATGCCATGTAAATTACCCCAGTGTATTTAGGAAACTAGACTAGGAGGCATCATTGTCTCTGTTGTGACTCCTTAGAGGCTGGTGCTGAGCCGCTGGCCCTGCAGTCCTCTGGATCAGAACAATGGGAGCAGACGGCAAGAACAACAGCTGACAGCAGTAATGAGGGTCAGGCCTGTCCATCGGCAGTAATGAAAACAGAAGGACATGCGTTAGCCCCCAAACCTCCGCGGGCTAGTACTCAACAGGCACTCTGCAGCTCAGGTGGATATGCTGTTCAACAATCAACGCTATACTGAAAAAATCTTAACAACGCTTTACTCAGATGGGACACTATTGTTGTTAGTTATTTTGTTTTGACCTGTTAGTAAATGTAATCAAATTAACAATTTAAATTCTGCTATATATATATAGCTATATATATATATACACACACGAGACAAATATTAGGTCTTAAATGCTTACTGTGTTACAGATGTGCAAAATAAATGGTCACAGAGAGAAGAGGTCCTTGCATCTGCTGCTATGGAGGAAAAACAGCCTCTTGTGGCCAGTTCCATCTCATCCTACACTCCAGCTCCCAGAATGACTCCAGTGATGAATAACATTACCCACCACCCCCCTCTTGCAGAGACAACACACAACGATGACAATGAGTATGACTCAGACGATGCCAGTGAGTAATAACATTCCTTTGATTGATCAGAAATTAATGTGTCTTGTTACAACTGCTAAAACCTTTACTAATGATGGACACTACTTGCCCTTTTACTACATCCTTGGCTAATAACTACTTAGTACATAATTTACAAATATCAACACAACTGCTATACACATCTTGAAAAGTTGCCACAATAGAATAAAAAACTATTATTCTCCTTCTTGGATGTATAATTGTGTTTCTGTTCTGCAGCAACACTGGGATCACTGGAGTTTGATCTTCTTTATGAACAGGAGAGTCATACCTTAAAATGTTGTATCATCAAAGCTAAGGTGAAAAGACATAGCAAGTATTGTAACAGTATTAGAAATCAGTTGTGTTTGTTTCTCATCATTGTTTATATTTGAAACAGGGTTTGAAACCAATGGATTCCAATGGCCTCGCTGATCCTTACGTAAAACTGCATCTCCTACCCGGAGCTAGTAAGGTATTAACTTATTTTTTAAAGGTGGGCTATTTTGTACATTTTTATTGTCTACTCTCTCCAATAAAACATTTATTCAGTATTCATTCTCTTCCTTTTGTCCAAACCCAGTTTGGCTTTTCAGGCTTTATGTCCTAGACATAACAATACTTGTACCACTTTCCTATGATACCATAAGCTGAGCACCTTTTCTTTAGTCCTCGTACACTTTCATACATTTTGTTTTGCTTGTACGGACCTCCACATGATTGGATAAAATATAGAATAGATTCAGCTATTGTTCCACAGGTGCATATTGATTTGCACTCTATTCCCATGGTGTTTGCCTCCAGCCTTTCTGGACCTTTGCTGTTTGTTGTTGGCCTATTGTTCTGTGATGTGTCCATATCTAGCACTGTTCATGTATAAATGACAACATCACACTAATGTTGCTGAACATTTACTTTAAAACAAAAAAAATATAACAATAGTTAATTAATATGATATTATAGAGTTAAAATATAATGTTCGATTCGTAGTTGTAGCTGAATCCACAACAAGTGTCAGTACTAACTGCAGCTATAAGAAACTCATTTGTTGTTATATATTAAAATAATTAAAAGTAATATAATGACTTCAGTTGTACATAGGGTAGACGTAAAATGGGAACTGTAGCACACGAGTAAATAGTTGAAAATCATTTAGCGAGCATTATTAGTCCATTAATTATTTAATATTGAATACATTTTTATGAGTGAATGATATGATGAGTGATATTTTGCAGGCAAAACCAATTTTGTCTTGATTCACTGATCTTGAGCAGATCTCGATATATGCCTTTTTCTGTCTGCATAAGAACAACATTTCACCTAATATTATAATTTTAATAATTTCATGTCATTTATACTTTGCTTTGATATACTCTTTAGTCCAACAAGCTTCGCACCAAGACGCTAAAAAACACTTTAAATCCAGTGTGGAATGAGACTTTGGTCTACCATGGAATCACAGATGAAGAAATGTCACGTAAAACCCTTCGGTAATAATTTACTAATGCTTGGTACTGTTCCCTCCAATGTATTTAATAATTGGGTAACAATTTGCTTTGTTCCCAGGCTTTCAGTGAGCGATGAAGACACATTTGGGCATAACGAATTCATTGGTGAAACACGGGTGGCCCTCAAAAAACTCAAGTTCAACCAAAAGAAAAACTTCAATGTTTGTTTAGAGAGGGTGATACCGGTATTCAGTTTTTATTGCCATAAGAAAATATCTCTATTTGTCCCCATAAATAAATCTCACATATGAACTCCTCCCCAGGTGAAAAAGACTGTTGGAGGCTCATCTAGGGGCATGGCTTTGTATGAAGAAGATGTAAGTATAAGTACACACCAATAGGTTAGCAGGATATATATAAAACAATGGGAATTTGAAGAACTATCCAAATTTATAATCCACAAATACTAAACCTCATACTTTTTTGTAAAGAATTGGCTCTACAAGCTTATCATATTAAACTTGTGGCTTAAAGTTCTATTAACACAACAAACTGTCTTGGGGTTGAATAGTGGCACCACTTTCTGAAGCTGCTGTGGATTATGAGTTTAAAACTCATAATTATGACTTTTAACCCTCTCCAGGCAGGCATTACAGATTTGCAACAGCTAAATTCCAATTACCTACTTACTCCACATCCATATTTTATTAGCTTTTTTTACTCAGGAGCCTTTTCTCCCATCCATGCTGATAAATGTGGACGATGCAGACTGTGCAAGAATGGCTACACAAAAACAGCCTGCCAGAAGTGCAAAATACTTTTTTTGTTCACAAAGGATAAAAAAGTCAGGATTGTATATTACTACCCCATATTATAATTTTCCCCAAATATCAGATTTTTCCTGATACTAAACATTAATTTGAGCCTGAGAGGGTTAAAAATCCTAATTAGGACTTTTAAACTCAGAATTATGAGTTTAAAACTCATAATTATGACTTTCTATGAGGCTTTTATTTTTTATTTACTGGCGGAAATAGGCTTCCATATTATGCTGATGACAAAGAAGATGAAGAATTTTGTGCCAGTTTCTGTTACATGTGGATAGGTCTAGAATATTTACCTTAAACCAGGTAAACAAATTTGCACTCTGACTGTTAAACAGTTAATAATACGGTTAATATTAAGCTATAGATTTAGTTAAGAGTGGAGTGGAGCAACGTGGCAAAAAAAAAAAAAAAGAAGCTAGAAATCACCTGTGTAGCTGCAGTTGGACCCAGAACTAACATCATCGCTTAAAGGTGCACTGTGTAACGTCTAAGGAGGAGGGTCCGCTACTTGCTTGTTTCCATGGAGATGTTATTTATTTTCCTGGAATATTCCACAGTTGGGCATTAAGAATATCTCATTTTCAGTTGTTCAACTGCAGGTGTTTTATAGCTCAACGATATCTTTTAAAAACAGGAATTCTTACATGTGTAGCCTTTCTTCTCCATATATCTGACCATTAATGTGTCTCCATAGTGATTACCAAATTTATTTTCATACTATGAAATAATCAAGGCAAAACACTAATATCTCCATGGATCCTCTACCAGCAAAGTTACACAATGCGCCTTTAACAACTCTATAGGGATGACTGTAGTGATGTCACATGAATACAATTGTGTGACTGTGTAATGATTAATAATAACTTTTATGCATCAATACTACGCAATTGTACTGTTTCCTGAGTAGGCCAGATAATCACAGTATGAGCCTACTCAGAGCAGTATTAACATCATTAATGATTGCTGTTTTTTTTGTTTTGTTTTTTTTTAGCTGTATGATGGTGATGATTCTGAGGAGAGAGGACGCATTCTTGTATCACTGATTTATAACAGTCAGAAGAGCTGTCTGATTGTAGGTGTGGTCCGTTGTGCTCACCTGGCTGCAATGGACTCCAACGGCTACTCTGATCCTTTTGTCAAAATGTATGTATGATGTCTGTGTTGTATATCATGAATCACAATTAATTAAAACTCAAATTGCATAAAGTCTCCTGTTTATATCTTTTGAATGTTGTAGATGTCTCAAGCCTGATATGGGAAAGAAAGCTAAAAACAAAACACAAACAAAAAAGAAGACTTTAAATCCAGAGTTTAATGAGGTGTTGCTTTAAAATATCTCTCTTTACTCTTTTTTTTTCCCTGTTGTCTAACTCTGATTTTGTTGTGCTCTAGGAGTTCAGTTATGAAATAAAACATGGAGAACTTGCCAAAAAAACACTTGACATCTCTGTGTGGGACTATGACATGGGCAAATCCAATGATTTTATTGGTAAGTCTCATGTCTGGTCATGATGGGCTCCTCAGATTTTTCCCCATATTATAGTGTGCTTTGTTTTTGACAGGGGGATGCCAGCTGGGTATCCAGGCTAAAGGTGAATGTCTGAAGCACTGGTATGAATGCCTGAAGAACAAAGATAAAAAGATTGAGCGTTGGCATGTATTGTCCAATGATAGCTCAGTGCAGTTTGAGGATTGAAATCTCCTCCTTTACATGTAGCTATTCTTTTCCTTCTTCCCCTTAAAAAGTATATAAAGCTATCATAAGCTGTTCTGAAGCAACGTTTAAACTGTACTTAACAGATTTACATAAATATTGACTCTTGAGGTGCCCTGGCCACATCTTACAAACGAACATAGAAATATTACATGTAACAAAAAAGCTTATCCTAAAAGCTGCACTTACCTTAAAGACTTTATCTGGTTCTTTGAAGCCTTGTGTGAGTGGTGATGAACTATGGCTTCAGCCCAGATGCAAAGGGGGAATTCCCTCTGACCTCATTTCCTGTGCTGCTGCTGTGCTCCTGTCATACAACATTGTGTCTGTGTGATCAGCTGATACATGACAACATGTAGTGCTTGCATCATCAAAGCAGTCATTTTACTTGTGCTATTGTATAAAATATTGTAGTATCTGTTTATTTTCATGTTCAGTGTAACAACATGGATTATGTTACAGAGGTGTACAGGATGGACGATCATTGATTGATCTCCTAAACATGCATCTGCATGACATTAAGTGTAATACAGGATTAAACATAATTTATGTAATATATAAATCCTCATCATATCAATAATATATTGTTTGTTGTGTATATCATTATTTGAACACACTGATTACGTTGTGTTGTAAAATGACTGCACATTCTCCCCATGTTGTACATCAGATACTATAATAAACAATGCAGTATGACACATTTCTTTGTGATGATTTGTAAAGTGACATGGCACAAACTTTGTCTTAATCAGGCGAGGGTTTGACCAATCAGCTCAGACCGACACGCAGCTGCAAGGACCGTGAACTTTGAACTTTCTGAGATAAAAGTGCTCTTTTGTCCAACTAGGTGAAAGTTTGTGGACTTGTTAAACTTTTGCTAATTTTTTATGATCAAAAGAAATTAATAAATAAAACTAATATTTAAAAATATGATCACAACTCAAACAGATGGACTTTGTCACCATGTTAATTTGCCAGTTTGCCATTTACTATGTCACGAGACAATGTTAATGATTTTTTCGATTTTTTCTCACATATCACTCACTTCCATTAAAAATAGTCAGATTCCGTGACTACATTATTTGTAAATTATTCATTTTGCACAATGCGGTGGATTGTTTACAATATAAAATAAAATACTTAAATTAAATAGATAAAATATTATTTTGAGTGACATTTTGTGCAAGGCTTTTCAGACTAAGTGTACACTCTGTCTGCATTAGTCACATTTGCAGATTGATAACGCCGGTGGTAATATGGAGTTGTGATCAATAGAGTCACGGTCACTGTCAGGAGTGCCTGTCAGGAGAGACTGAAGCCTTTAGGCAGTATTTGATGGAAACTTGTCAAATATCACGTGACTACTTGATGATGCGCCATGCGTTTTAGACCTTAGACAACTAGTTTATCTACGCACCGGAACTCACCTCCCCTTTTTGTTTATTATTTAAACCAAACTCAGCTTGGTATCTGCCCTTTTCTGTCAGTCTTCACCACAGACACAGGGATTTTAAAACATCCTCTCAGGCGTTCTGTCTTCTGCGTTTCCAGCCGCGCGCACCATGACGCACGTCTATCCGGTGGTCGCTTTGACACTCCTCACAGTCAGCTTAGCAAATGCATCCTTCCTTTGCACATGGACTAAAGTTTTGTCAAACAGCGAAGTGCACTACAGTTTCTTGCGGGGAGACGGAGGGGGGTCTCTGCGGCTCTATCACAGCATCTGGTCATCACCAGGTACAATGCAAAGCTGCTCCTTCAGCGACAACAAAACAGTCATTCGAAAGTATACTACTTTGTGTCGGGAAAATAAGCAGGCATTTTCACACCAACTAGACTTGAGTTTTGACTATATGTTTGATGAGCAATGTACCTCCCTGGATTCTCTGCAAAACGCGCCCCACGAAGAGCACAGCTTCAAGAGAAGGCTAGTTAGAAGCACCAGTCAAGATGCTCTGTCTAAACCGCGCGTCAAGCGTGGCTTCATTGTCCCTGGAACGCTGTGGTGTGGCTCTGGGAACAAGGCACCATCGTATTCAGATTTAGGTAGGATACTTATTTTTGTTTTACAATAGTTTTTACAGTTTTATAATATATCCCTGAATTTAATATTTTCTTATATATGTAGGTGTGTTTTCAGGGACAGACAAATGTTGCCGTGAACATGACCAATGCCAAGACACCATTCTGTCCTTTCACTCCAAGTTTGGAGTCTTTAACAGCAATATCTTCACCATGTCTCATTGTGACTGTGACAACAGGTAAAATCATATTCAAATTTCTATATTATTTTAACCCACTGTCTTTGTTGCTTAAGATGCTCAAATTATTTCCTAGATTTCGCAGTTGTCTAAAGGAAGCTCAGGACAGCATTTCTGATGTGGTTGGTTACACATTCTTCAATCTTCTCAAGATGCACTGCTTTGAGTTCTCATACAGACTACAATGTACAGAGAGAAACTGGTTTGGGATGTAAGTTCTCACAGTGTTTGATGGTAATTCAGACCATTATATTTCTGAAATTAACTTTTTCATTGTAGGTGCAAAGAAACCAAAATGGCTCTTTATGCTGAGGTTCATGCTCCCACCTTGTATGTGACAGATACACTAGAAGATGTGAATAGCACTAGCCTCAACATGACCACCATGTCCACTCCTGTCTACAACATCACAGAACCACTTTACCCTATCATGTTAGAGTCTACTAGTCCCACACAGACTATATCCATCATGCCAACTACAGACACACCACTGAGGGCTACCACTGTATTACCCACAAGAGCGCCTAAACAATCTGTACCACTGTCGGATGCTTATATTACAGGTAATCAATGATGTACAGATCTGTTTCATGTATTGAATTTAATTTGTGGTGTGGTCGCATTGAACCTGTCCTTGTATTTTTATCTTCCAGAGAGGCAGAAGTCTTGTGCTGTCTTCAAGTATCTTGATGAATGTGAGAATAGGATCCTTCCTCTGCAAAGGAAATATGGCTTTCACAGCAATGAACCAAGGACAATGTACCACTGTAACTGCACCAACAGGTAAAAGAAAATTCTAGTTTTAAACAGATAAATTCAACTCTATTGTAAATATTTACTTGCAGTGACCCTATGGCTGATTGGAGTGGATTTGTATGTGCACAGACATGGTGTGATGTTTTGTAACTCAGAACTAGGCCACTCATTCACATAGTTACATAAGACACAGCAGCAAAGCTTTATAAATTTGAACACAGATGCATTTAGATTATATCTGAGGAGTGAGAATGCTTGTACTGCCTTCTCATGCATGTTGTTGATGTGCTGGTGTGACTATGCATATTATTTAGATTTATTTAGAGTTATTGTTATTGTCCTTGCAGATTATTCCAGAGTTTGGCCGCTCACCCGACCCTGACTGAAGTTAAGACTCTTCTGTTGGACCATGTCTCTCAATCCTGTTTTGTGTTACAAGACTGCACGGCGGGACAAATGTTAGTGAACCCTTTACGCACAAGCTCTGATATAATTACATGGCACCGCTCCAGTCAAACATCCTTTAATCTCTGTCTCTGTCCGCTTGGTCTCACAGCTGCAAAGTGGTAGCGGTTGGTACACAACTCTCTCAGGAGGCTACCAGCAGTGCACATGTGAAGGAGCAGCGCCATCTACAGGCGATGAGACTAAATGTCAGGAGACCAACTCTGAATAAGGCCACTAAAGACAGATCTACTAGACTTCACAGACTGTGTCTCAGAATGGCGTTGCCCCAAATCCACAAACGCAGAAGAAATCACACCAAGGAAACTAACAAAAAGAAACAAGAATGAGTATAAAGCACTACACATGCTGTGAGTTGGATGCAAAAGAATCTGCAAACTAAATACACAGTCCTACATGAAATAGCTTAGGTATCTTCCCTTTAATTCGATCTTGTGTCTTCAAGATAACTGACTTGGTTGCGGTGCGCTGAACTGTTTATCCTGACAGTGGGATGTTTTGTAATCTATAATAGAAAATACTGTGATGTTGTGTTTTCAGAGTTTAAAATACCTTCCAAAGATTCCATAATCATTTAAGTAATAAAGTTATTTCTGTGCTGTCACAACACCCATACCACATTACTGTCTGTTCTTATGTCAGCCTTTGTAAATATTTAAGACGTTAATAGATGCTATGTACAGCTCTGTATTGCCATTTCTGCTCCAAAATAATGTAAATACATGTAAATAAATTTATTTTCTTACTATGTTATTATAGCTTCTGAACCTGTGTTATTATATATATATATATATATATATATATATATATATATATATATATATATATATATATATATATATATATATATATATATATATATATATATATATATATATATATATATATATATATATAAAACTCATTCCTTTTATTTATTATTTTAAAATGTTCATAATAAAGTTGGATACAATGTGAGTACAGTGGTGAAGTCCATTCTTCACTATACATGTTAAGAGCATCTGTGTAATAAAAGCGCGCAGGTAACTCTACCCCTTCGTGATGTCACGAGGAGGAGTAATTGAACCTATGCTGAAGTCTGGAGCTAAAGTCTGGAGCTGTGGACCGGATCCCCGCCTCTCATCGGACCCACATTCCGCTACTAGGAACATGGCGCACTTAATGCGGACCAACTTTACACAAGGGAAATGTAGGAGTATTGCTAATTAGCCCAAACATCAGAAGTGTCGTTGTTGTTGCTAGCAGTAAGCTTTTGTCCCGTGTCCCGTGGCTCAGTGTTTTCCGACCCTCCTTCACTGTTGGTATGGGATGAAAGTTTGGAGCAGCAGTCACTGAAGTTAACGATGGAGAAGCCAAGAGCTAAGAAAGAAAAGGTAAATGGGCACGAAAACCTACAGGCTACTAGTTAGTTTGTTTAACAATATGGTAACCTATTTAGAATAAGTCATTAATACGCTTAGTTTCTTTGTTGCCTTAACAGTTTGTCTTAGCAGTAAATTCAAATCTAGTCTGTCTTTCTTCCTATTGACTTTGCACCGTTATTTTTCATGATAACTTTCCTTTTTAGACCTTTAGTCGGGTAACAATGTCATCTGGTGGACACTTGGAGTAGTAGATGCTTTAAGTTTGTGCCAGGTTCTGCTCAAAAGAAAAGTTAACATTCACAGCTGACACTAACAGATTGTCTAAACAATAATGGAAAAGTGACTTTACTATGTGTATGTCACTGTCACTAATAAAAGGGTCAGATAATGATAGTGGCTCAACATAAAGAGCATTTACCCCTGAACTATTCTTATTATCACAAGTGCAGAGAGACACTTCTCTGTTTTATACGTAATACGAAACTGTCTTTGTTCAGTGGAGCATTTTAAGCTACTTTAGTAGGCCACTATAAATTCAGTTCCATTATCCAGAGTTTAGTATTTTATTTTATTCTTATTTTTTTGCTTTGACCCAGAGAGACTGTAATTCAGTCTGTGTTTGACAGGGTGTGCATGGATCCTTTGCTATTGTTTTTCCACCATACAGATCTCATCTGATTTTATGGCCCTACAGTAGCTGTGCATTAGTCAGTGGTATATGTCATGACCATGACACTCTTGGTAAGGTTCAGTCAGAGCAGAGGCAGCATCACGTTGAGTGAGTACAAGCTGTCTGCTCATCCAAGTGTCTACTTATGTCAGGCGTCTTTTGTGTGCGTAAGATGCTGCTAAGCTAAAATGGCATCCATATGATGATAAGTAGTAGACCACATGCTCTTGGAGCTTTGTAATTTAAACATATAGAACCATTGTTATGCCTTATAATTTAAGAGACTGCCATAGCATCACTTTTATACCTGTATTATTTTAAATGTCCTAGCTATAAAACACAGATTTTGACACAATTCAACATAGTATTGATTAATAGGACCTTTAGTAGGTTGTACCGCAATATTAGAAAATATGCTGGCATACATAATGCTACATGCATTTAACCATACTGTGTTAACTTGCAATGTGAAATTACACAAGGTACGACAATGTTCATTTCATGAACTCTGATCTGTAGATTATGTCCAAATGCCATTTTAATTCTGGAAACCAAAATATTTCCACACAGAAACATTTCATGTATTGAAACGGTTTTCAAAATAATCAAGTCTTATGCCTTATTATGGCAATGTTGATACATCACAGAGGTGATGAATAACAGACATTATAACGTTACAGTTTTAAAAATTAATCGATGAATTGCTATTATTACTCCCAGCGATTACAATTTTTTTTTCCAGCTAATCTGTCTGTTCTCATAATAGAGTGCTGAAACTGCTGTAATATATTGGACAAAATGGTAAAAACACAGAACAAGCCAAAGAATTTTGTTTTGTTTTGTTTGATGAGCTCTGTTAATTTTATTACTTAAATAATATGGCAGCTGCCATACATTGCACTTTAAGCTATCCCATTGCCATTGTTCAAATGTATAAAAAAAACATTGTGTGTGAGGGAGAGAGAAAGAGGCAATAATGAGAGATAATGAAGGCCTTGGTGTGCACTCTGGTGAAAAGACAAATTTGGAAACACCAGATCTGGGAGGGGAACGCCGCTGCAAAAAACTAACCTCAGTGTGCAGTTTGTGCGGGTGTGACGGAAACCAATGAGAGGAACAGACTTTTGCTCAATTTTGGCTTTATCCTTCTTGATATCTCTGAGGAATTTAGGACACCGTAATAATAAAATATTTACTGTACTGTTTTACTAATAATAACTCACTGAAAAAAGCGAAATACAATGTATGTTGCTTTGGTAAAATTTTTTCACAGCAAAATACATTTACACATAAAGAGAATAACCACACTAATAACTGGTGTGTTTTTACAAAATAAATCTGATCATTAAAAGGATCTGATAATTTGGAAGGCAAAGTATATATAATTTTTAAACAACTTTCTAACCCTAACCTAGTGTAAATTTTTTTTTTTCATTATTGTCTTTGCTACATTAATTAGTCCCTTTTTGGTATATTTTTCCCTACCTGCACAGGTGTGAACAAGCAGATTACTCATATCAAATATCAACATTTCAATAAACACCAGAAATCAGATTACGATTTTTGATCTTTAGGCATCACAAACATAGCAAATGCTTTCTTATAATAATATTCCATTTCTCATTCTAAATTTAGTTTTTTATTTTCTGCAGTTCTCTTTTTTTGGCTCCCGCTCCAACAGTAAGACCAGTGGTGCCCAGCCTTCGCCCTCTTTATCCTCTTCCTCCCCAGTGTCTCCATCCTCTGCAGTTAAAAAACCTGATACCCAGTTCTCACCTGGTCTTGGCCTAAACAAAGCTGAATTCCTTGAGAGAGTCCGCCGCAGCAACCAGGCTTGCCAACAGGGGGAGTATGCATTGGCTGTTCGTTTATACACCGAGGCCCTCTCTGCGGACCCCCAAAACTGCATCTTGTACAGTAACCGCTCCGCTGCCTACCTCCGCCTTGGCCAGTACAGCACTGCCCTGGACGACGCTATCAAGGCACGACTCATCAACCCCAAATGGCCAAAGGTAAGAGGCAGGCTTCCATCTAACCTTGTGTCATGGCAAACACCAGTGTAATGAAAGAGGTGCAGCAAATGGAAGTGGGTGGGAAAACTGGACTTTTTTTGTATTTCAGTATAAGAGCATAAAGTAATATGGCTGTTAAATTGTTAGTATGATCCGTGAAAGCCTTAACACACTCTGCTGCACTAATGAAAGTTCATCAACAGGTCAGCGTGCTCAGAACCAGGTGTGAGTTTCTTGGCACCAGAAAATAGGATAAAAAGTGAAGGAAGTTGTTTTTTTCCTTCCTTTCTTCTGTATAGTCCTGTCACACTGTTATAGCTTTATATAGCTGAAAATGTTCAAAGGAAAAAGACTTTATATAAAACCTTTGTAGAATTGTGATTAGATTTCCAATTGATATTTTAACTGTAGGATTCTGTTCAAAGTTCACATCAAAAATCTAAAAATCTAAAATATGAACTGCTTAACATTAGAAGATCTAGATTTAGAGAAACTCGATCTAGATCTTCTACACTACCAGGATAGCACTTTTACACATAATAAAATGAGATCATAGGGATATTTAGCCTTTTGCAGACTACACAATACAATGTTTACATCATTTTATGTTTAAAAAAGATGTAACCTTTGCGATAACGTAATTGCAACCATTCAAATTACGATTGGTTAGTTAACGAGAGTTCTAGCTGTTCAATAGAAAGAGAGCATTTTAATGTTAGGTGTTTAAAGTAATTCAGAGGGGAAGCAGAATGTGGACCTGGCTAGGCGACTGGGGCTGTGCTTGTCCCTCTGCACTTCCTCTCTCGGTGGAGGAGAATGGACGGAAGGGCTGCCCGGGAGTGTGTGAGTGCACGGCTGTTATTTTGTTTTTCAAAGCACAGCCTTGGCCGGAGTTTTGCTCTTGAAGACAATACCAGAAGCAGCATTCCTCTGTGTGTGTGTTTGCTTGTGTGTGGCGTATCATTGCATTGGGCTCACTTATAATGAACTACTTCAAGAGTCTGTGTGTGTAAGCAACAGAGTAAGAGTTACTTCAGCTTGAGTGGGCTTTTTCTGCTTTTCACTTGGCACTGCTTTGTTTTCACTCCCCTTTTTGCTTTCTGTTCGACCTATTGCTACCTCTGCCGACTGCTCTGTTGGGCCAAGCGGCACAGACTGCATCTCACTAGATCAATGCAGTTTGGTCATGGGAACAGGGGGCATTTTCTTTTGGCACATTCCAAAGCTCTGATAAAATATCACTTCATTGTATTTTTGTCAATAAAAAAAAGTGCATTTATTTAGCTAATAAACTCTGATTGCTTACTTATTTCATAACTGTTGTTTATTTCTATAAGATAAAAAAAAAATTCTCATATCTTTATACATTTCTTTTGTGGGCTTCAACTTAAATAAAATGAATGTCTGCTTTACATTGCCTCTGACTGTGGTAGGCAGCAAAAGTTTTCTTTTTTTTTTAGCTTCCCCAAAAATAGACAAAAAAAATAATGATTTTTCATTTTGATTGTATTTATTGCACTGAAAAACATGTCCATACTGTAAACATACTTGCATCTCCACAAACCTGACTCTTATTTGGTGTGGTGGAGGGCCTTCATCTGCTTGTTTCCATCATAGACATATCTAAGAACATGGAGAAAGTTCCAAAGTATAGTTTTCTTTTTATTTCTATGGAATCAGTCAGGTGATACGCCACTGCCACCACTAGAAAGTTGCATACTTTACCTTTGGCATTGGCAATCCTAATCTTTATAAACTTGACCCTGTCTTTGACCCTGTCTTTGATTTATGATAAATTAGTATTATAAAGTATTGTAACTATTGAATGTTCTGGGTATGTTGTCCTGTTATTAGCAAACCCTTGATTACTGTACGCTGATATACTAAGACGGATATGTTGAGAATTTATAGCCATTATCAGTGAAGTGATTTTGATTAAAGGAGAGGCCAAACTGATGGCAGCCTGGCTGTTTACACTGAAGGACACAGTGTGTGCCCCAGTGTTCAGGCTTCCCCTGTAATTAAGAAACTCTAACCCTGTACTCCTCAGATATTATCCACATACATGCACAAGACTAAAGTCAGCCTGCCAATAACAGCCAGCACACATGCCCCCATAGATGTGTTTTAGCTGCTCTTTTATATGAGTTGACATGAGGTTGTGCAGATGCTGTATTCAGAATGGTGACCTTAGAGTAGGCCAGTAGGTTAATCCAGATCTTAACAAGGACTATGTGACCATGTGAGGAAAGCGGGGGAATAGGGTACATTTTGAGGATACTTTTATAATTTACAAAATGTGACAGAAAAAACAAATCCATTTTAAAATTTTAAAAAAGTGTATCAGATCAAATAAACATACAGTAGTTCCAATTAGAGGTAGGTGATATTGCCAAAAATCTCAATATGTCAATGTCAGTATTTTTCAGGACTATATAACAATATTCAGACCATATTAAGTCAGTTCAACAGATATTTGCCAAAATTTAACTTGGATGAAGTGAGGTTTAATTATCAGATAATAGTGAATGAATTGTAACCCACAAAAGCACATAATTAAAACGTATTCCTTTGTTTGTTCCATTTTTATATTTAGCATTTTGAGTTTTTATATTATAAAGGACATTCAAACAAAAACAATTTTGATATTTTTGATATATTACATGTGGTCACACCCTAAATGATGATTATATCCAGTTATTGTCAATGCCTGATTCATTGTTTGTTTGTTTGGGTTTTTTTTTTTTTTACTTTTGACTTTGACATTTTGAGAAGCTTTGTGAAGCAGTTGCAGTTTAATATTAAGAAAAAAAAAAAAAACAACAACATGACATTGGTGGACTGATGTTGGAAAAATACAGTGCTGCTGTCCCACTACCCACTAGAGGGCAGCTCTGACACATTGACAGAGTCACTAGTCTTCAGAAAGATATGTTCTAAATAAATAAATGTTTCACTGGTTCCACTTATTGTCATTATGTGCAATGAAATAACACAACCTCTACATAATCCACCATAACATTTTTGACTTCCAAGGGTACCTAGTATTTCTAAGATTCAAGATTGTTTTAATCTTTTTCTGATCTCAATACTTGGTAGTAAAACATGACTATTTGACTTGTTATTTTACATGCCATTTAAAGATTTATCTTGTGATGTATCTGTTTACATCCCTCAGGCTACAGAGGCTCTAATCATTTTACCTGTATGTTAAGTAAGCTTGTTTTATTTGGTTTTAATTGAGATATGCAGTCTTTCCTCAGCTTCTACACTACACTGTCATTAAAACTCACCTATGGTGTTTGCAGTTGGGTGTCCAAGCTGTCTGAGGGGAGAGAATTGCACAGAAAACAAAATTAAAACAGCACTGAAAGATAATGAAAGTGAAAGGCTGGGATTGTCTTTACTAAAACTCTGTGTGATTTAGATTGGAAGCAATGAGTGGCTTTTTAGTGAATGCTCTATTGTATCTGATGTCAAGCAAAGGTGATCAAATTTCAACAAGTAATTTATAAGTTGAAAAAAGGTGTGAAATTGTCAAACCTTTCATTAGCACCTCCTTATCAGCTCTCCCATTATTTTCAGTGTTAGTGAGTAGGCTAAATATGACCTTCAGATGTGTCCCGTGGGAGAGGGGAACCTCCCACCAGCCTCATTAACCCAATATACTGGAATGAAGGAGTTGAGCAAACTGCCACCTGTGTCACTGTGGAAGCTTTTACAGATGCACTGTGTAACTTTTTGGTTGAGGGTCCTTCATCTCCTTGTTTCTATGAATGTCATTGCTCTGCCTGGGATATTCTATACTATAACATTAAACAGCGCTGTCTTACATTTATTCAATCCAGGTGGTTGTATAGCTCAAAAATTGCCAGAAAAACAGGCATTCTAACTGAACAGGTTTGTCTCTCCAAAGATCTGACCTGTAACTTGGTCTGGTGTCCATGAAGATAGAATAATTTAATACCGTACTGTGAACAATTCCAGAGAAAGCAATAACATCTCCATGGAGAAAAGCATCATTCAGCATTGACAGAAATGCCACCAGAAAAGTTACACAACCCACCTTTAAGGCAAAAGGAGAAATTCAATTTGTCAACTGAACAAAAGTTTATATAGTTTAAATAAAAATAAACTTTTGTCCAGTTCACAAATTTAATTTCTACTTTTGCCATGGATTGTACCTGAAGGACTGAGGGATTTTACACCTGGACCTTTAAGTCCACACATGGTTAAATATAGTGTGTATTCATACTGTACAAACCTCGACTTGTATAATAACTATAAATATATAAACCGTGTCATAAGTGAACACTTGCTGAGTCAGTGTTAATTGAATAAGATAAGAATAGAAAAATCAGATCTTTGTGACATAATGCAGGCCACTGATCTGAACTGAGTTCATCAACACATCTAGACAATATGAATAACAGAAACAGCATAACATACTTAATTCAAAATTCAGTATTGTTCAGAATGTGTAATTTTGTCTTATTTTTTATAATTTGATTAAAGGATTTAGATAATTATGGTTAGGTTGCATACAAAAGCAATTGTGTGTGCAGACATGCATTAAGCCTTTTGGCTCATGCAGCTCCAGACTAAAAGCAACATACCTGTATAATTAGTTTAAAATCATTTAATTGTTGTTGCAAGTGTTTAATTATAGTAGAGTCTGTGAAGTTATTTAGTTGAACTGATTGAGTAAAGCCATGTTTTCCAGACTAGTGAACAGGCACCAGCATGAAGCCACATTCATTAATGCCCAGGTGTGTGTTCAGTGGCCATGTTGATGATATAATGCGGTCTATCAAAATTACTTTACATGTTGTGGCTATGATCAAGGGCTTATAGCGCTCACACACAAAAATAGAAATAGCATTAAAGATGCCTTTCTGTCATTGCTGTCGAAATGTGGTGTAAATACAGACTAAATTAAAGCTGCAAGTGGATGAGGGCCCTTCAATGCAAATGCCTATTGCCATTGCCCAAACAGTGAA